TGCTGCCCTAAAATGTTTAGTATAACTGTTGTGCACATAAAAGGCAACTTTGAATGCAGCTCTATCTTGTCTTGGATTTCAATAGGATGAAGCTGGGGGCAAAGCTACCTATTAATACTTGGGAAACATAAACATGTCAAAGATCAGCCTTGAGCACTGGGACAAGATTCTCTACATGTATGAAATGGGGAACAGTTCTTCAGATTCCAGTAAAAGTTTGCACTGCAAAAAAAGGAACTAAGATATATAGCAGCAGGGATAAGTAAACACAACTTTTATAACACATCATTGCCTGCTATATTTCCTTGGTTCAAAATATCAATAAGCCATAATGTGATTTCCTTCGTTTTAACTCAGTGATACATGAAACCAACCATTATGATTTGTAAATCATGATTTGTAGCTTAATACAAATTATGTGTGTGAATGAGTTAACTATGTCTTGTTCAGTAATCTATGGTTAAAAACATAGCATTAGCTATGAAGACAGACACTAATTAAGGATTTACAATGAAGTAGATCATGCTCAGACTAGTAATCATAAGATATATCTGGCTTGTTTATTCCTAATATTTGGCTTGTGCCACTATGATTCATGCTGATCCCTATATAACTCCAGACTCTTTGCTTTCAGTTTAGTGTGGTCTATAAGCATACCTTTATCTTACCTTTGTGGGTTCATCAATAAAATATGGTTAAAATCCTTTCTTAGATGTAAGCTACTTATTCCTTAATTTTTTCTATTTGCCTTCTGTTTTAGCATATAATTAAAACAATATTCAGAAAATATAGAGTAGTTATTAAGCATCTGACTAGGGACAAGATTTTATAAAGACTGATCTATAAAATAAGAACATGATTTTAAAAATGTGAAGCATATTCTTAAAAAATATAGATGCTTCTGAGCTTTGTCACAGCCAATTTGCAGTATATTAGATCATGGTAGATAATAACTTACTTCAATTGCATTTGCTGCCTTTCAAAGCAATTATTTCTGGTTTGAGACACAAAAAAGGTTCTGAGTTCAACATAACATAAGAAATATGGGACATATTTTAAGTACCTCAGTAATATCTGCCTGATATCGTAATCTTTTGACTCCGGTGAGCTTTATATTCTCTGATAAGAATTTGACTGTTTTTCTGCTTCTGGATTTTGTGCTAGAGATGAGGAAACACTGACTTTGTTTTTTGCTAGTTAGATGAGGCTTGTTGGTACAGAAATGGCTAGTATATATTAGCATGTAAAAGTAAAAAAGTTAAGGCTCTAATGTTATTCAATTCTATTGCACAAAAAAGAGTTGGAAATCAATGCTTTTGTTGTCCCCCCTTTACCCTACACTTTTCCCCCTTCCCTTTTTTCTACTATTTTCATTTTCTTTTGTGTTTTATATCCTAATAAACTTAATTTAAAAGTTCACCAAAAAAGAAAAAGAATTTGACTATCTTTCCAGTGACATAAGGGATAACCTCCCTCCCCTCCAATTATGCCTGCCAAGTCAACGATCTTGTTACACTTCAATCTACAAGCAGAGTAAACTAAACTAAATGTACTATATATTTAAGCCAGTGTAAAGCCCATTACGCTGTGAAACAAAAAAGGAATTTCTTTCAGCATCTTGAAACAATGAACTATCAGTTTCTGTACTATGATTTAACTCAGCCTTCTCTTGCTGCTGTCCAGATGTGTTGGGACTACAACTCCCAGCATTCTTAGCTGCCAATTCTAGGATTTACACTCCCCTGCCCTCAACATCTGGAAAATAGTAGCTTGAGGAATATTCAATTATTCTGAGTTTATTCCCTTTAATACATTTGATAGCACTACTTCACCTTCTTTGCTTTTATCACTGTTTCTTTCAAAACCTTCCAAATGTGCAATATATGCCAGTACATCTAATATACAGCATACTTTTACTTATTTAGGAATAAATATTTCCAATTAAATAAAGCATCTTTTAAAGTGGATTAAACTTCAACAGAAATTCTTTCAGCAATGCAGCAAAACAGTGCCTGGTGACCAATACTCTCTCTAGCTTTCCAGTTTATTAGCCAAGATTACTTTTGTTTTTCTTTAATCCAACTAGTGAAGATAACTAGCCAATAACAGCTGATGGAAAGTGTTCCCACTCGGAGGAAGGATATAAAAGGTTGCCATAATATTAGCTGCATGAGAAATTGGAGACTGTAATCTTTCCCCTTTCTCCCTGCAGTAAATTTCCTATCTGTCTTATCTAAAAACACAGCCTACAGCATTGCCCTGCCTCCTGTACGCTATCAATTCTAGCTAAACAGAAGTATCTTTTTCATGGTAAAGGTACCCTTTTTTTAGCTGCCCTTATTAAAAATATCACCCCTTCTTCCAGAACTGCCTCCCTCCCACCTCTCCTTTGCAAATACAGACACATGTGGGCAATTCACCAAACAGTTCACAAAAGCAACACACACCTCCAGAGCACTGCATATCTCTCTCTCTCTCTCTCTCTCTCACAAACACACATACACACACACACACACACTACCCCCACCTCCAAAAAAACCCTAAATCCTACCTGAAATCTTTATCTGTGGATTTCATCTTCTCCAAGAGGTTGGAGATATGATAGGATATGTTGGTCATCTTGAACAGCTGGTCCGGGAAGATGATCTCTTCTACACGGCTTGCTTTAATATAGAGATTTCAAGCAAGAGTACAAGTTTCTCGCTGTCCTAATCAGGGAGCTCTGCCGGCGTGAAATCTGCATGGAGAATATGGCGACAGAAGGGGCACAGTGAGACTGGGGTAGTGTTTTTCCTTTCTCTCTCCCCCCCCCCCTTGGTTAGAAGTCACTGGAAAAGCTAAGCCCCTGGACTGTTATCAGAGGATATATATAGCCTGTAGTTGGAGCTGTAGTTGAGCTAATGGCACCCCCTCCCGGCAGACATCTGCAGCCTCTCAAGTTCTCCGGGAGAGAAAAGTGGAGGAAAGGAGGCAGCAGCTGCTGCTTCTTTTCTCACCCCATCTCAGTGGCTATTTGGCCAGTGCTGCAGCAGAACTGCAGGTGTTTGCTGACACACTGCAATCAAATGGCAAATCATCCTGAAATGAGAAGGGGGGAGAGAGAGGGGGAGAGGGGAGAGAGAGAGAGAGAGAGAGAAAGAGAAGCAATGAATCACCTCTATCTGGCTAGGGACAGCTGATGTTGACACTCAGCGCAGAAGGAGGTCAATTAGTTTGCCTTTAGGAAGTTCTCTATCAATCTACCCATTCTTCCAGTATTAAGAGCTGATGTTCCTACTTTGCCAAGTACTTTTTAAATTCTGAATAATGGCATATAAATTAATTTGAAGTCTATGCAGCACCATAAATCTAAAAGAGATGCTGGATAAGCATTCATTCATTTTTTGGGGAAATGGCTCATTACAAAAGCTATAATTTTTCATTCCCAGGAGCTCAAATTGATACAATAAATTTGTTCTGGCTACAGAAAGCTAACTACGGGTAGGTCAGTTTGCTTTTATTTGTAACTTTACAGTATTTCCAATTAACAAAGAAATTAACCATTTCTTTTCACAAATTTAAATTAACAATGAAAAGAATTCCTATTACTGCATAATTGTGTGACATTTACTTCTGATTAACTGAGCTACTTGTACAATACATTGAACCATCCAGGCTGGATTCATCCAACTTACTAAATTGAAATGTGGTTTATGTTTCCGTGTGTCTTGAGAACATAAGCAATGAGTCTAGGGCAGATAAAGAACTACAGGACAAATCAATGGATATCTACTGAAAATGTTAATTTGCTTGAGTTCTGTTTACAATTACTGTTAATGTCACAAAATTGCAACCAGTTTGATTATTTTTTAAGTAAAGATGCACCCACCTCTCTGACATGAATTTTAGATATATCTAGATTTTTCTTTACTGGTGTCAGGTACTGTATATAATTCCTGTACAAGAATGTACTTTTCTAGCACCTTCAGAATCTTTTGTCTCAGTTTATTGTTACTGTTTATTGTTACCAAATAGGAAACATTTAATGATTGGCAACATCAATACATTGAATGCAACAAGTGTAAAATAACAGCTACTGATTACTCATCTATAACTTTATTCTTCCACATGAAAGAGTTAATCATTTTATTTTTATTTTTTTTAAAAAGACTTACAAATTCAGATTTACTGAATTTCAATACTCATTATACCAAGATATTGGAAAGGAAAAGAAAACAACAGCACCATTGATATGAGAATTGGATCTATAATGATTGTGTTCAAATTCTTCTCTACTCCAGACATATTTTCACCTTATAACTCAGGAAATGAAAGTATTTTTCAGCTTTTGTCCCATTTCCAATTGCTTATCTAAATGCTGACAGCATTGAAGGAAACTGGTAGTCAATGTTGATACCTATAACATACTCTAAACCACAACACACTTTACTACAAATGCATACTCATTTTTAATATTGGGGATACAAAGCATTTTACTCGTAGTGAAAACATGACTTAGCCTGCCCAGCCTTTCAACAGTCCTATGAAATTATACTTTTCCCATACTACTAGGTATGTAGGAGTGCATCATTATCCACCTTGGGATCTCCAAATGTGTCAGGCTATAATCTCACCATTCCCAGTCAGTGGAGCAACTGATGATCCAATATCATGGCATCAAATTCGGGAACTGATACCGAGGGCAGGAAATCAAATTGTTTTCTGGCTGGGATAACATACTGCATCAAGCCATCATGCATAAACCGCGATTTACACCCGCTCAGTTCAAGCCAAACTGGCTATGATTCAACCCCGTTAGGAAAAAAAAAATAACCAGTCTGCCCCCATTCCCAAAGCAGCGAGGGATAAAAGCGGCAAAGGTTACAAAAGGGAGGGTGTGGGAGAAACACGCAGAGCCTCTCGCCTGGCAGAAAGAAGGTAAAGAAGGCGGCCTCGGCAGCAGGAGGAGGAACTTTCGTGCGGATCTGAGGAAGAGGGGTGTTTTTTTCCCAGCCGGAAGGTTTTGGTTACCCACAACCGGGCTGCGCTTGCTTGCCACGTCTGAGAGCGTCCGACCGGGCAATCATATCGCGGAGCCGGGCTGGTCCCGTGAAGATTCCTCTCTCGTCGCCGCCATGGTGAGATTGAGGGTTTGGGGGGAGCCGGGATTGCCGCTCAAGCTTGGGCTCCCTTCGCTTAGGATAGTCAGGTTGGCGCCCCGGCGTGTTCCCCTCCAGGACTTGAGAGTATGAAGAGCGCGGGGTTAGCGGGTGGTCATTTTGCCAGTTCCCGCAGGGCTGAGCTGGCTTGTCGCCGAGCTTCTCCCGGGAAACGGCGAAGGTCGAGCGAGGCGAGGGCCAAGGATCAAGGCCCATTCCCCGACTCCAGCTCTTGTCTGATCCCGGCCACGTCTAAGACTCCTTCCCAAGCCATTCGTTTGGGATCCTGAAAGCGCCCGTCCTGTATTGCTGGACGCTTTGCAGGAGATGCATCTGCCCCATTCATCCAAGCGCCTGTTTTTCATTCATTTTCTTTTTAATTCTTGAGGGTGGGGTGGTGTTGTCTTGCACTGAACTGAAAACGGAAGCAGGTATTTTTTTCCCCAAAAGGCTACATTAAAGATCTACTGGTTTTAAATGTTTCTGATCCAGACCAAATGTCTATGGAGATTCTCACTCATCCAGGTCATGGTTGTCACAAAGGTGCTTTTTTTCAAGAAATCCAGACCAGTTACTATGGTTTGGTGATGGACCTAATTTGATATTGTGGATGACAGTTGAAAAGCTTGGTAGCAGCCAGGAAAAAGGAAAGCATTTTTTTTCATCAAGGTATACTTATGCTGAATGCTGTACAAGTAGTCCTTATTGCTACGGTTGGTCTCAATATTTCCATTGCTGGGTCGTTAATCCAGTGGTGCCCCATTTTGCAAACTTCTTGCCAGATTTGTTAAAACAAATCACTGCAGTTCTTAAGTGTATCATGAGGTTGTTAAGGGAATCTGGTTTCTCCCATTGAATTTGCTTGTTGGCTCGGAAGGTTACAAATGGTGCTCACACAACCTTGGGACAGTGCAACTGTCATAAATATATACCAGTTGCCAAGAGCATGAATTTTGATCACGTGACCATGAGGTTGCTGCAACGGCCAGAAATGTGGAAACTGGTCATAAGTCACTTTTCTCAGTGCTGTTGTAACTTTGAATGGTCACTAAATTCATGGTTACAAGTTGAGGACTAGTTGTACTAGCTTTCTGGACAGTTAGCCATATTGACCTTGCTGGAGACCAGGACGAATTGTAATACTAGTAGATGTGCTTAAACAGTCCATAAAACTATTGAAATTAAACTTGCTGTTAAGAAACACCTTTGTTCTGAGTCTAAGATATTTTTACATCCTAGGATTGGCATAGTTTTGTGGTCAGGGTGGTCAGTACGAGAATGAGAATCAAGTTTTCAAAACTAGATGTTCTGCCATCATTTTTTTTCCTGTCCTGTCAGCTAAAGCAGGCACAAAGATTAGGTCCCTGTGTTACCTTATACCAGATCAGTTTCAATATGTCATGGAAATTTTAAAAATTAACTAAGGACAAAGAAGTCAAAATGCATGTGGAATGCTATAAAATTATTTGAAAATTAATTGTGTTAATGTACGTAAACTACTGTAAACAGTATGGCCAAGTCCTATATATTTTAATTCTTCACTATAAATATAAGGTTAGAGATCTATTAGTGTCATTACAGCTTCTTTGTATTTTCCTATTAGGTGTCTGTAATTAATACAGTGGACACTTCCCATGAGGATATGATAGTAAGTATTTTGTCTCTTTCATTTCTATTCCAAAATAAATACAGTAAGATTCATTTTAGAAAGATAATGCAAGGAATGAATATTTTTCTGTTGTACTATAGAAAACTTCAAAGGAACACCTTTATGCTAAAGCCACTTTTTACATAGAAGGGAAAATAAAATTATGGTAAGGCTAAGAATTCTCCCCTTTCTTTGGAGAGATATAATGGGATACAGTAGTTGAATCCAGAAAATGTGGCATTAGATGATGAACATGCTCAAAGTAAGGTAGCTGTTCATTTTAATATATTTGCATGTTAATATACCATATTATAGCATATACCCGTGATGGTGAACCTATCGCATGCATGCCACAGGTGGCACATGGAGCCATATTTGCCGGCACATGAGCCGTCAGTTCCGGGACGCATGCGTGTGCTGGCAGCTGATTTTTAGCCTTCTGGAGGGCCGCGGCCTTCCCCGGGCTTCAGGAAAGCCTCAGGAACCTGGGGAGGGCGAAAACTCCCCCTCCGTGTGGGAGAGTCGGGTGTGTATGTGTGGGGTGGGTCGCACACACAGGTGGGTTGGATGCATTGGATTGTGATTGTGGGCGCACACCCATGCGCAATAGCACGCGCACACACAATTTTGGCATGCCTTTACAAAAAGGTTAGCTAGCATACACTGTACCATATAGAGATGTAGAGTGAGTGGAGCAAGAGACACATTGTCTTGTTATATTTTTGGAATGTAACAATGAGTAGCATTTGCTACTTTGAAATATGCATAAAAATGGTAGATGCCAATCTTAATAATATGGTGACAATATATAGTCATAATTGAGCATTCTGCTTGAGAGAAAATTTTGGCTCAATCCAGACTCCGCAATCTCCATGATTGTGCTTCATTTATACTATTAGTTTTTCATATATTTTTTCTTCAAAATTGAGGTATGCTGTTTATAGTCATAAATTATGACTTGAGTAGCCTTATAAATATCTGGGAATTTGCACTGAAACAAAATGGTTTTTCAAAAATCACCCTCTGCAACATTTTTATTGGAATATTATTAGGTTTTGAAAAATGTTGTGGTAGTTGTGATACTAGGCAAGTATCTAAGGCAGGGGTGTTAAGCTCACATCATCACAGCAACATCACATGATGTAACACAACTCTCCCCTCCTTTTTTCTGGCTAAACCGGGCGTGGGCATGGCCAGCATGTGACGTATCCAGCACAACCATTGATTGTAACATCTTCTTATGCTGTGTATTTTATATTTCTCTATTTGATGATAATTTGTTTTTAATTTATTTTAAGATTTTTTTTTGCTGTTCCTAGTCACTTCTGAGACAACTGGCTATACAAATTATAATGAATAAATAAATATTACATTTTCAAAGATTTAAAAATTGTTATAGAAACAGAAATGTGAGGTTTTAAAAAGCTTATTACATTACTTCCTAGCACGATGCTCAAATGGATTACTATGGCACTCGATTGGCAACCTGCTCTTCAGACAGATCTGTGAAAATATTTGATGTCCGGAATGGAGGACAAATTCTCATAGCTGACTTAAGAGGGTGAGCTGAAGACTAGATAATTCTTTGTCGCATGACCCATTTTTCTATTTTGGTTATAGACAAAATTGCTGGCTTTTGTCCAGAATATTTTTTTTTTGCATATCTAATATTCAACTTAGCAGCTTTTGTAAGTCAACCTTTATCTTGCCTGTCTTACAACCTATATATGATATATCCAATTTCTTAGGCTTCATCTCATTTAAAAAGTGATCTAATTAAACATAATTGATTGGACTCACAAACACTAAGAAATAAACTTTGAGTTCTGTACAGTTAGGAAATAATGTATTTGATTATGTCCTGTTGTTTTTAAAAGGACTCTCCAGATAGGATGTGCTAAACTTTAGAAATGAATCTTCTTTACAAATGGAAATGTTACAACATTTTTGTTTTTTAAAAAAATATGACACCTGCTTTGAAGCCTTTGATAAGGCTGATATGTCTGAATAAAAATTGAAGTGGCTCTTTGTGTAATATTTCAGGATATAAATCACTTGACAGGATGCATGATTTTAAAGTGGTTTCAAAATGCTCTCCATACGTCATGACTAAAAGCAAGGCCTTGATGCAGTAATTATTTCTTTTCCCCCCAATAGGCATGAAGGTCCTGTGTGGCAGGTTGCCTGGGCTCACCCCATGTATGGAAACATCCTAGCTTCGTGTTCCTATGACAGAAAGGTTATTATCTGGAAAGAAGAGAATGGTACATGGGAGAAGACATATGAATACACAGGACATGATTCCTCAGGTAGAGATATTCTTCTGCAAACTATGTGGGCATAGGAACAGATTGATTTAATCTTTTGGTAAAAATTTACTTATTTTAATTATGTTTATTACTTGCTTTTCCATCTTTTTTGGTGGTGCAGGCACTTCCAACTTTTAAGTGCATCCCTGTTGAAGCCAATTTTGTTGCTATCACCAGTATCTGCAGATGTAACACTTGTATAGCAATATCTTATTGCTTGTGGGATAAAGTAGCCTAGTGATCTGCAAACTAAATACCAGCTTGGAGGCATTTGTGCTGTTGTTGCCATTATAATTTTTTTAATACTTAAAGCTGCAGATTTTTTAAAAAGAGGCTGTTGCCATAGCATACTAGCCTTTCATCCCATTTAAGTAGTGTAGACTAAAAAGTCAAGATTTCTATATTTTCCTCTTGTAGTTGCGTGATTCATATAATAATACAATCTGTTTCTACATTTTCTAACAGTCAATTCTGTATGTTGGGCCCCACAAGACTATGGGTTGATCCTGGCTTGTGGCAGCTCTGATGGGGCTATCTCTTTGTTGAGTTATACTGGTGATGGACAGTGGGAAGTGAAAAAAATCAGCAATGCACATACAGTGAGTATAGAGTCATTTTATTAAACATTTTATGTGGCAAAAAAGGTGGAATATTTAAAGCATGTAAAATCTTTTTATTCTTTTACTAGAATCAAGTTCAGATAACCTTAGTCAAAATAAACTGTGTGGGTAAGGAAGGAAAGGCAATGTTTCTTTAATTGGATAAACATCCATGCACTATTAAACAGAGGAAATATATTTATTGTTCAACACATAAGAATAGAAAGATTACGTTAAAATGTTTTCTTAGGAAGTGTTTGTAAATGAAACAAATAGTTGTTAAAATTTGTCTTTAGTTTTGCTATAAATTAGGTGAAATTGCATTGATTTATTTTTGCATAGATTGGTTGCAATGCTGTTAGCTGGGCACCTGCTGTTGTACCAGGAAGCCTCATAGATCAGCCTTCAAACCAAAAACCAAACTACATCAAACGATTTGCATCAGGTGGCTGTGATAATCTCATCAAAATTTGGAGGTAAGTTAGCCTCAAAAATTATCTAATAGTTTTTTGGGTGGGGGGAAAGAGGTAGAGATTTTTTCAAAAAAAATTGCTTGTGCTTGTTACAAAGCTACCTTCTTTACTTCTTCCATCTGCCAAAAGATTAAACCTTTCCTAGTTTCTCTCCAACAGTTATTTTATATTTTTGCTTGGTTTTTCTGCATTCATTTGTTGGGCTAGGGTAGTTATGATTCAGTGCCTCAATGAAGAAAACTATAAAACAGAAGTGATTTTCCTTTGGTGATTCAGATACCAGTTCTTCTGGGTCTTTTTTCAAGGACACTTAATAAAAACTCTCTTGAAAGTCACAAATAGCTTCAAATTGAATTGGACATTTTGGCTTCAGAAAAAAGGTACAAGGTGTGATATGATAGTTGTTTTGAAATATCCAAAAGTGTGACACGGGGAGGCAGATTCCAACTGAATTTTAGAAAAACTTCGAACAGTACAAATTTTGAATTGTAGGGTCAGATATCCAGAGTAGTGGTAACTTTGCTTTCCTTGGATATGTTCAAATAAAAGCTTGACCGCTTTCTATTAGGGGAATTTCTGTTTGATTCCCATACTTCGCTGGAAATTAAAGTTAATTTCCTAAAGGACATCTTGTAATTGTTAAGAATCTGTGAATTGTTATTCAAAGCAGACATAAACTAATTACATTGCAAAAGGTGCAAAATGTATCGGTTGGGTTTTGGAGCAGAACTGTTTGAAAGTCTTGTCCATTCTATACTTTGATCAGAAAGTAAACAGACCAATCCTATAACTGCAACACTTATCTGTATTGGTTCCACCACAAAACTGCACTCAACTAAACCGCGTCCGACTAAACTGCGTAGCTGACGTCATCAACAGGGCGACAACAG